TTGAGAATTTTGGGATTTGGAAATTTTGGGACTTGGGAATTAAGGGATTTGGGACTTTTGGGATTTGGGAATTTTGGAATTTGTGAATTTGAGAATTTGAGAATTTGAGAATTTGAGAATTTGAGAATTTGAGAATTTGAGAATTTGAGAATTTGAGAATTTGAGAATTTGAGAATTTGAGAATTTGTGAGTTTGGGAATTCGGGGATTTGGAAATTGGAAATTTAGGATTTGGTGATTCGAGAATTTAGGAACTTAGGAATTTGGTAATTTGATAATTTGGTATTTTGGTATTTTGGTATTTTGGTAATTTAAAAATTTGGAAATTTAGGAATTTGGTGATTTGAGAATTTGGGTACTTAGGAATTTGGTAATTTGGTAACTTGGAAATTTGTAAATTCAGAAATTTGGTATTTTGAGAATTTGGAAATATGATAATTTGATAATTTGGAAATTTAGAAATGTGAAAATTTGCAAACTTTAGTAATTAGGTAATTTGAGAATTTGGGAATTTCATATTAGGCGATTTGGAAATTTGAGATGCTGCGGATTCAGAACTGTAGAAGTTTGGAACTTTAAGCACTTCAACAATTTAGAAGTAATTAGGTAATTACTTAAATTACCTAATTTAAGTAAACTTTAGTAATTAGGTAATTTGAGAATTTGGGTATTTCACAATTTGAAAATTAGGCGATTTGGAAATTTGAGATGCTGCGGATTCAGAACTGTAGAAGTTTGGAACTTTGAGCACTTCAACAATTTAGAAACTTGAAAAAAGTACAAATCCGTGATTTTGAAAAATCTTATACACCCAACAATAAAAATCTTGAAAATAAATTTAGAAGAAGTTCAACTGCAATTGTATTAATAACTCAAATTTATAATTCAAATTTCAAATATCAGGAACTTATTATAAATAAATTCTTGTTCCCACATCAATTATAAATGTGTACTTCACCGTTTTAAACTTCCCTAAACTTTGCTTTGTATCTGCATAAAAAGTTACCCTTCTCTCGTAACACAGTTTTGGATCGCTGTATAATTTGATAAGAGGTTCGTTAAAAACTTATGCGTAATGTGTTTCTCTCTGTGTCTCTCTCTTCTCTCTTCTCGTTCGCCTTTTCACCCCTGAACTCGTGCTCAGCTGCTTGATTAACGAGCTGACCGCGGGAGGGTAAGTCATCAACGTCACTCGGAGGAAGTTCCGTACTGCAGCTCGGTTACACGCTTCTTTTACGAGCTTCCTGCTTCCGGTAGGGCGCACAATTATCCTTTAAACACACACCACGCCCTAGCCGCCTCGGCACGTTGGCAAGATACAACGAATACCGTAAACATGTCATTTATTGTGCTTATTCTTCGAATCCGTTCTCTAACGATTTAAACGACTTTCACTCACTGGTCTACTTACAACTTTTGTGAATCATCGAGATTGCAAGGAGAATTTATGATCTTTGCTTCACAGATTTAAATGTCAATACTGATTTATATCGCTGTAAATAATATTTATATTGCTTATAAATAATTCATATTGTTGTTTATGAATATATCTCTTAATTCATTCACTGTAGTTTCTATTTAGATGTCATGATTTTATTTTCACCCCTTGCACTGTGAGTTACTTATCAGGTGCGTCAGTCAGAGGGGATGAAATATAGCTACAATATTAGAAGACACAAAGAAAGTTGAAATGTTATGTGAATGCTGGAAATTTAGAAATTTGGAATTTGAGAATTTGGAAATTTAGAAAATTGGGAATTAAAGGATTTGGAAAGTTGGAAATTTGGGAATTCGGAGATTTGGAAATTTGGGGATTTGGCAATTTGAGGGTTTGGAAATTTAGAAAATTGTACAATTGAGGATTTGGAAATTTGGAGATTTGGCAATTTAAGGATTTGGAAAATTAGAAATTTGGGAATTTGAAAATTTGGAAATTTGGGGACTTGGCAATTTAAGCATTTGGAAATTAAACAAATTGGAAAATTGAGGATTTGAAAATTTAGGCGTTTCGCAATTTAGGCATTTAGAAATTTAGAAAAAATGGAAAGTTAAGGATTTGGAAATTTAGAAATTTAGAAATTTGGAAATTTGAAAATATGAAAATTTAGAAATTTCAGAATTTGAGGCCTTAAAAATCCCAAACTTATAAAATAATATTATAAGTGAGTTATATTAATAACTAAATAATATTATAATTAAATATTACTCAAAATTCGATGAAGAATATCTCGAAAAATATTCAAGATAGTAAAGTTATATTTGTACATTGCAAGATGAATTTTATGAGTACTCAAAGTTCTGTGAGTGAAGCAATGATTGTATATTCTACTTGTTAGATTATAATGTCCAGCTGCACACTTTTTAGCAGAAAATTTATAGGTGTACAGGGTGAATTAATTAACCTTAACATATTTTCGCATCTTCATTAATTTTGGTGAGCAAAGAGAAATACAGAAACAAATATTTTATGTACATTCAAGTTTTAAAAAATTTTATTTATATTCAAGTTTACATGAACTTTCATCTAATATGTGCTGTAGAAAATTAATTAACTAAATTTTATTTTAACCACTTCATTTTACAATCAACTGTTTCTTTTTGATGCAATTTTTTGACTGAACAATTTCAAGAAACTTTTTCAACTCTTTTCGTCAAATAACTTTCCAAGAATTTTCATACGAGTTCAATACACCCCCCTATTATTTAAGTGTTACATTCATTCCTAATAAAGACAAACACAGACAAACTATTTACACTTTACATATGTATATATAAT